CCCCCGCCCCGGCCGCGCGGGCGTCTGCTGGGGGCCGGAGGTTGGCCCTGAGGCTCGGAGGTCCTCCCCTCCCTCTCCTTCGCGGGGTGTCCCGGCTCCGCAGCCCGCGGGCCTGCCGGCCACAGTCACCTCAGGCGGGCTTGGCCTCCCCCTCCCCGGCGCCCGATCGCCTGGTTTGTTGGTTGTGCCTGGAGATGGAGCTGCGCCGGGCTGCGCGCTGTGCTTTTGATTATGGTGTGTGTGTGACTGTGTGTGTGTGTGAGACGTGTGGCCTCCCCTCCCCTGGCAAAACAGAGACAAAGCGTGACGCTGTCCGCGCTGGCTGTCGCGGCCCCACCGCGCACCCACTCTGGTTCTTTCCACCCCCCCCCCCACGCCCGCGCCTTCCAGGGCCTCGGGGTGCGCACCCGGGGTGGGGGGGTGCAGGAGACACGACTGGCGACACAGCCTCTCAAGGCAAGAGAGGGACTTCAGGACAGAAATTGCCCCTGGGGATAGATGTGGAACCCCCAGGGTCCCGTGGGGACGGAGGGGGGCGGGAGCGGGGCGCATCCCGTGGGCAGCCGAGTGGATACAACCTGTCGGTGACATCCGGGGTGGTGTGTGTGTGTGTGTGGGGGGGGATCGAAACACTAGCGTTGTATAAGCCGGGCACGAGTCGGCAGTGTCATGTCGATGATTTGGTTTAATTCGTACCAAGAAGGAAAACTCTTGACAGTTGGGTCATGGAAAAAAAAAATTGCAACATCATCAGACTATTTTTAAAAAATTAATGAAGCATTCATCGTAGGGCCACAGCGCGTGGCTTTCCCTGCTCTGAGAGCCCTCTGTCAATTCATTTCTCTTTATTCAGTAGTTTGAAAGATGACACAAATAATCTGCTCCTTTCCCCTCCCCCCAACTTCCCCAGACATCCACAGTTGTGAGAGAGAGAGAGAAAAAAAAATCTTCCACTCTGGTGGTTTATTCTGGAAAGGGGTTTTGAAAATCATGTCATACAAGCATTTCTATACTCTTTATATTGACGACAAATCTTGATGAGGGATAGCAATAGTAATTTTATATACATGGTATCTTTTATTCGGTCGTGGGGCCTGAACTCTGGGCCTGGGCGCTGTCCCTCACTCTGCTGTTCAGCTCAAGGCCAGCCCTCTTCCTGCTTTTTCTGCTTATGTGGTGCATGCAAGGCAAGCACTCTACCACTGAGCCACCTTCCCAGCCCTAGACATGGTATCTTCAACTTAAACAAGAGAATGAATTCAAAAGCTTAAAAATCTTTGCTATATTTTAATATTTTACAGAGGAGGAAACAATCATCCGTAGAGACGACAGTTTTATGACTGTTTAGAAAGGCCTGTTATAAAGCTTTAAAGTTCTAATTCAGCCTCTTTGGTTACTCAGGGGCTATGTATGCATTGTTAGAAAAGCCCCCCCCCCCTTCATTGATACTACCTTCCTTTTGGCTATATGAATTAATAAGTGTACCAGGGCAAAGGAAGGGGAAAGAGAAAAGCCAGGAAGCCCAGGAAGACAGTCTTATTTAGCAGAATCTAGCATGAAAGGTAAGGAAAGAACATAGAATAGTAATATAAACAGAAATGGTATTTATGATCATTTTCTTTTGGGATTTGTACGTGTGCATTCTTTAGAATATACTAGAACATTGTGGGGACCATTATGTTTGACACTGCTTCCAATTGATGTGAACAGTCCTGGACCACCCTGAAATGATAGTAGCAAATAAATCATTTTATATTTGGCTTTGATATGCATGTGAGGACTTTTTAGGTGGATATGGGTGAGTCTGATTTTGGAGGGGAAAGGGTTTATACACATAGTAACAGAACTGAGCAATCCACACGATTAAGATTTCATTTGGCAAAATTTGACTTTTTTCTTTTTTAATGAAATACATTGTTCTCTGGTCTGAACAGAAATATCCCTTAAACTTTACTCAGGATAGAAATGCCTTAGTTATTTTAAACTCCTTGAATATTTACTTATCTATTTATTTAGTGCCAGTACTGGGGCCTGGGTGCTGTCTCTTAGTTTTTTAGCTCATGTCTGGTGTTCTACCACTTTTGCCACACCTCCATTTCCAGCTCTTTGGTGGTTAATTGGAGATAAAAGTCTCACAGACTTTCCTGCCCTGTCTGGCTTCAAACTGCTATCCTTGGATTTCAGTCTCCTAAGTAGTTATGATTACAGATGTGAACTTCCAGCACCTGGCTTGAACATTCCTTTTCAACAAATATTTCTTGAGTATATGTCTTTATTATTCTGATTTCTGCATTTAAAATAGTAAAATATGTTGCACATATGCCATATATCAGAGTCAGGACTGGCTACTATTAAGATGTGTTATGTCATGTAAACATTTGAGTAACTGCTTACAATAATTTATGTCTTAGATCCTGTTGTGTTTGTTGGCCCGCTTACTGAAGGGGCACAAAAGGACTGGCTGCCCAAAGTTAAACGGGATAGCTATGGTAGAAGCAGAGTTCTCACTCAGACAGCTTGAGTTAACAGCACAAGTTCTTAACCATTAACTGTGTATAGGCAAGAGGCAAGAACGTGCGTTGCAAAGTGTGAGTTAGCTTAAGGTCAGCTGCTTCTTCCTGGTACAAAATTATTTCCATGACAAGGGAGTGATTTTGACAAGTCATTCATTCCTGTCTTGACATTGCTAGAAGAAAAGACAGAACTAAGAAAGAGAATCCTGAACTTAAATCAACTAAAGATGTCCTTAGAAATCTTTCCATGTCCTCCAATCTGACTCTCCAAGTTATGTATGACAGGCTTTTACATGATACAGAAATTAATATCAACGGGGTGCTGGTAGCTTATGCCTGTAATCCTAACTATTCAGTAAATTGAAATCTGAGGATCATGATTCAAAGTCAGCCTGGGTAGGAAAGTCTGAGACTCTTATATCTCCAATTAACCACCAAAAAAAGGAGAAAATGGAGGTGTGGCTAAGAATACTTAGCCTTGAGCAAAAAAGCTCAGGTAAGCACCTAGGCCTTAAGCACGGGTGCGTGCGTGCGTGCGCGCGCACACACACACACACACACTCTCTCTCTCTCTCTCTCTCTCTCACACACACACATACACACACAAGTAAGAAAAGGAAAAAGAAAGGAAAGAAAAAAGAAACAATATGAAGGGCTAGCAATACATGCCTAGCAAGTATTAAGGCCCTGAGTTCAAAACCCCAGTGCTACCACAGACACAACTAAACCAATAATAAATTAACACAAAATGCCATTTTTACACACAAGATCAACAGAAACTTTTAACCTGCCTTTCCTTCTCAGTGAATATTGGAGTCATTTTATTAACAAATCCACTCATTCTAGTGATTATGGAGTAACAGATACTAGCATTGACTCCATTTAGGTAAACTTGCAAAGCTACCTGGTGCTTGTGTTTTATTAGAGACTTTATAAATATGATAAAACCTATGACTGTTATTATGTCTCTCAAAATAATGATACTTATGTGTCAGGAAAAGATGTTGAACAGAAAGTTTCTCATTTAGGAAAAATTTTTTAATGTGCTTTTAAAGGTGTTCTTTGGTATATTTGAGGTATGTTATCTTTCATTGAAGTAGATGTGGATTCAGGAGATAGAGTTGCTGTCCAACCCCATATGGCTATTAAATACCTGAAATATAAGTAGTTCTATTTTGGAACTGATTTTTAAATTTAATTTTAGTTAAATTTAAAATGCAGCCCTTGATTTGCCTATTGGAAACAAGTATTCTTAGATCAACTTGGTTATCTAGATCTACCTTTTCAACTGGAATGCTCATGAAATCTAAATACTGACAATGCATTTCATATAGAAATTTGTATTGTTAGGCACTGGTGGCTCATGCCTGTAAGTCTAGCCACTTAGAAGGCTGAGATTTGACGATTGTGATTCCATGCCAGGCTGGTCAGGAAAAGTCATTGAGACTTTTATCTCCTATTAACCAACAAAAAGATGAAAGTGGAACTATGGCTCAAGTGGTAGAGCAACAGCCTTGAGGGGAAAAGCTAAGGGACAGTACCCAGGCCCTGAGTTCAAGCCCCAGTGTCAGCACCCACACAAACTTTGATCCACATACAGTGACTGAATACTTTGAATTTTAAGTACCCAGTCTGAAAAAGAATGAATGTAATCATTATGGTAATCTTTATATTGATTACATGTTGAAATGCTATTTTGATTACACCAAGTTAAGCATTAAAATGAATTTTATCAATTTGTTCTTCAGAAATGTGGTTAAGTTGGGCTCAGCAGCTCATGTTTATATCCTGGCTACTTGGGAAGCTGAGATTTGTAGAGTCATGAGTTGAGGCCAGTGGGAGCAAAGAGTTTGTGAACTTTCCCAATATCGACCAATAATAATAATAATAGTAATAATAAAAGCTGGGCACAATAGTGTGCACCTGTCATCCCAGTTGTACAGAAAGCGTAAATAGGAGGTTCATGATCCAGGCTGTCCCAGAACAAAAGTGAGACCCTATTAAAAAAAATACTAATGAAAGCAAAAAGGGTTTAAAGGTGTGCCTGCCTAACAAGCACAAGGCCCTGAGTTTAAACCCTGATTCTATCAAAAAATTAGTTTCTAGAAACTAAACATAAACATATATATAGTTTGAACACATATAGTTTGCATTTCATATATGTTGCTGAGTACTTCTTTATAATGTAGTATAAAATAAAACAGTTGCCAGGCACTGGTGGCTCATGTCTGTAATTCTAGCTATTCTGAGGCTGAGACTTGGTTCATAATCAGCCTGGGCAGATA